ATATGACAACGCATACGAGCAACACATAATCGAACTACATAATTATACCGATCGGAAGGAGCTACCATACATATCTATCGCCAATCCACCTTTAAGTCTCCTTATAGATACCGGCGCAACGAAATCATTTATCAATCCAGAAATAGCCTTTAAATACTTCAAAGATTGCATCCACCATGAGCCATTCATCGTTACTTCAATTTTTCAAAATCATTCTCAGGACTATTATTGTGCTCACATTCTCATATTTCCAGAATTCAACTCAAATGAGAAGGTAAAATTTTACCTTTTCAAGTTCCACCAAATGGTGGATGGCCTTATCAGACTCGATAACCTCAAGCTACTCCAAGCCTAATTGAACCTGCAAGAGTCATTACTTATCACAAAAACGCCATTCTCCCTATTGAATACTACGTAACGATCAAAACTCTATTCTATTCTATCCAACTGTCGCCTAACACGGTTTCCCGAGTACCGCTTCCAGTAAACGAAACCTAGGGTACGATCCTCCTACCAAAACAAGAGTTCCAGGCAAACACTCACATCTGCTTGTAATCAACTCGCTTGGACTGAAATTGTCAACACAACCGATGAAGAACTTCAGATAGCTCTGACAAGTCCAATCATTAGCATGCAGTTAAACCTTGATCAGTTTCATATCTACATCACGGATCTAATATTTCAAGAATCTTCGTCAGCGCATGGCAACATTCCTAAAATTAGAACTAATCACCTGAATTCAGAGGAAAAAAAGGCAATACAAAATGTATGCAGGAAGTATGCAGACATTTCCATTATCCAGTCATATCTCTGATCTTTACAAACCACATCAAACACTATATTAAAACAAAAGATGGGATTCCAGTGTACACCAAGTCATATAGATACCCACATATATATAAAGAGGAAGTGAAAAACCAGATATCTGCTATGTTGGATCAAGGAATTATCAGATCAAGCCAGTCACCTTGGTCTTTCCCGATATAGATAGTTCCAAAAAAACCAGACGCCTCCGGAAAAATAATATGGCGGATAGTAGTGGACTATAGACAAGTAAACGAGAAAACTATCGATGATAAATACCCAATTCCAAACATAACAGACATCTTGGACGAACTTGGTGGATGCAAAGATATATGCAAAACTGCTTTCAATGTCAAAAAGGCCATTACGAGTATGTCCGGATGCCGTTTGGCCTGAAAAACGCTCCAGCTAAGTTCCAGAGGGTAATGGATACCGTTTTGAAACGCCTCCAAGGAGAAAATTTCTTAGTGTACATGGACAATATCATTGTGTTCAGCACATCACTTCAAGAGCATCTGGTTTATCTATCTTCAAAATTCAAATGGACTAATGCGAGTTCCTAAAAAAGGAAGTTGCCTTTCTTGGACTTATTGTTGCACACACCAGATGGAATAAGACCAAATCCGGCTAAAATTAAAGCCATACTTGACTATCCAATACCGCGGAACCACGAAAGAAATCCGAGGATTTCTAGGCCTCCTTGGATATTACAGGAAGTTTATCAAGGACTTCGCTAAAATTACTAAACCTCTTACTTCTTGCCTCAAAAAGGACGCTAAAATAGAACTGACACTAGAATTTTTGAACTGCATTAGAACTTGAAAAAAATTACTGACAAATCAACCTCTTCTGCAATATCCAGACTTCAGCAAGTCTTTTAATCTAGTGATGTTAGCAACTATGCAATTAGGTGCTACCTGACGTCATACTCATAGCCTCAATGACATGTTTGTCCCCCTATCGAAAGTCACGTTATTTCATTGGTGACAAGCTAGCGCCTGTGTGTTGAATAGACCTTTGAAACGCTTAAAGCTGGAAGAGTTTTATTATGAGACAATCTATAAGAAACGAAAATGAAACACCAATGCAGGTGCTCTGTCCATTGTCTAAATCCATACCAAAGGAATGGCCCAACCACCGAGACGAAGATAAGGCATCTTTGTTGAACAATGCAGAATCAATCCTCGACATAGACGAGAAGTTCTAGAGGCTGTCAGGTCATCAGTGAAATTTTTGATAATTCAGAACCCACACAAGCTGGCCTGGAAAAAGATAACGAAACTAGACACACTGCTCAGGACGAACCTATAGTCGGCATTCCAATTAGCGAAAGAGCTCTTAACTACTACATAATCCAGGCCTACCATCAAGGAAAAACAAATCATCGAGGAATTAACGAGACCGAAGCGCAAGTCCGAAAGAAATATTACTGACCCAACCTCAAACGAGATATTGAAAAAATCATAAATATTTGCGATACTTGTCAGTCAAACAAATACGATAGAAATCCAGCCAAATATAAATTCATGATTACTCCAACACCTACTAGACCTTTGGAAATTATTCATCTAGATACCTTTCAAGCCGGCGAGCAAAAGTTTTTAATAATTATTGATTTCTTCTCAAAATATGGACAAGCCTACTCAATAGAGGAATCAAATTCAGTGAATGTTCTTAATCTTCGTAACTCATCATGGAATATCACACATAATAATCACCGATAATAGAACAGAATTTAAGAATGGACTTATACAGGAATTTGTAGATACACATAAGATATCTATCCATCATACTACCCCTATTAACCCACAATCCCACAAACCCCCCCTCATCAACAAACCTAGCACGAAGATCAACACCAGGAAAACTGTAAAGCTGACAATATTGTGACCATTGAGACTCACACGACAATACATAAAAATAATATTAAAAATCTTCCAGGAAATAACTCCTTACAAATGTTCCTCAACCGTCGCTCAGAACCTCCTGATCCAGGTCTTGAAGGACAATCCAGGAATACTTCCCCTCAAGCTGGGACGAGCAAGAATTCAGAGTAATACCCACGACTTCAGTCACTTTTTTGACCTCTTCCCAGTAATTAGGGAACTTCAATCCCGGGAAGACCAATACGAATCAGTAAGAACAGCAATAGCCACGAGAATATCGTCTCCCAAGTGAATCAGCAGACGAGTATTAACCCCAAAATAATGGTAAACTTCAACCACTCGATCTCCCTTATAATTCACAACGAAGAAACTTTAGAAAAAGAAGCGAACAAAATTAACTCCGAACTAAGTAAATTCATGTTCGACTTTACCCATTTTCTACAAGCTTGTCTTAGATCAGCCCTCCAAGTCATCTTGCAAATCCTCAACGACCTCGAAGTAGCTATAACATTTGCAAAAACAAACACTCTCCATAACTCTGTTATCAAATCCGACGAACTGAAATGGGCCGTTAAGGAGATGCTCGAAAACTACTCCGAAATCCAGTTTCCTTATACTTATCAACGAAAAAGATTATACCTAGGTACTATGATAAAATTAGCATTGATGGATACTTCTCAAACCACACCATGGTCTTCATTCGGCATTTCCTAATTCTGTCATCAGAAATTTTCACGCATATTTCCATCTTTTCTCAATACCAACTACGAATCATACCACCATAATTCCTATTTAGCCCCGAGCGAAAACTTATTTCAATACACGGAAGTTACATGCAGTAAAATTGATTCCGAATACCTATGTCACGAAGGATTCTTACAAGATAACAACCAGGATTCTTAACCAGGATGCCAATCAAGAACTTCCAGTGAAAACTCCTTGAATGAAAAAACTGTTATCCAAGAAGAACCATCAACACTTCCCAGAATACACACAAGAAACGATGATCGGCAACCCCAAGTAAAGCCTCTGAAACTCTTCCGGGTACCGGTACCCCTGGATGAACTTAACAAATTAATAAGGGCAGAAGAACACATCGAACCAATCGAAGCCGAAACGTAATCAACAAGTAGGTAAACTCTTACTTCTGGATAACACCTTTGTATATTTCAGGCATGATTCTGGAAATAGTTGTTTGTTACAAACTCAAACAAAGATGGAACCTGGGAAGAAAAAGGGTTTCAAACAAGATCCTTGAGGACACCAATGGAAGAAACAAATCCTGAAGAAGAGTAACCAACAGTTTTGTTCGTCCCTTACAAAACATCCCCCGGGAAGGAAGAAATTACCCCATATATCCGAAATACCACCGAATATCATTGAACACATGGCTCAGCAGTAACAACCTGATATAGCAATGTAATTTCGATTGAATTAGTTCCAATTTACATTTTCCAGGGAAAACTCCTTGTTTCTATGTTTAAAAAACGACAGGATTTTGTTTGCTGGCTTAATTCCAACATTTATGATACATAAATTTCTCAAGTTGACGAAAACGTACACATTCTTGAAGACAATTCTAGAAACGACGAAGCGCTATAAAACGGAGTCGATCATCAGTGAGTTGTAAATTATTTTTTTGACTAAAGCTCAGCTATGTGCAAACCTGCATATGTAATAGTAAATTATTAATTTTTATTCAGATTCGTCGGCTGTGGATTGTGCCCAGTGTAAAAGTACCAGATTTCATTTCTGTAAATATTTACTTAAGGTACTTCAAACTTGGATTTACTTGCAACACGGTTGCAAAATGTAGACGAAATTCCTGCGACCCAAAAAGAAATGAAGACCTTTAAGAAAAAAATCAACCCACTTATAATTTCTCGAACACAATTAAACCATGTGGGCAAATGATCTCTGTGTTATTGACATTTGAATGAAATTTTCAGGTATTCGTCTCAGGCTATTGTGTTAAAATTTCCGATTCTTATCATCTTGTTGTTTGATGCAAATTTTGTTTTTCAAAAGAATGAAAGTAAACGGATGAGTGTGACAAAATTATTGTTATTATTAAAGTGAATGTATTGTAAGCACACGTTGCACAATTAATTGTCACTTGATTATGTGCCATTTAGATAATCAAATAATTGGATTTTTAATTTACAAATGTAATTAACTAAATGTACTTTCTCTAAGACCACAGTTACCTACATCCGTGGGTCAAAATCTTGAAAATTCATTAAAATCTCAAATAAAACAACCGACCATATTTGCAATAAAATAATTTAATAAATAAACTACTAAACGCAATCACGTCTGATGATATTTACTAATAATCTTATTCAGAAACTCGCTCATCTGATCCGATTTATTTTTGGGACCTTTCTTGTGCGATCCAGACGATCCTTCTGCGTAGATAGGAACCAAAGCTTGGTCTGGAGAAACTCCTGCTATTGCAGTACCAACTGGCCTGGCAATAGCCAAGCCTCCTGGACCAACTACTGCTGTTGCTATTGGTTTACTTGCAGCCACACCTCCTTCACCTAGAATGAATATTTTTAGGAAAAGTCATGTTATACGAGTGGGTTATTCTTACCTGCAACTGCTAATCCAACTGGTTTAGCTTCAGCTACAGAAGCATCAGCTGGAGGTAAATTAATGGCAACACCTTCATTATCCTGATCAACGTTTTCCTCTTCTTCCTCTACCTTTTCCTGTTCTTCTTTTTTGCTTTCTTCCTCCTTTTTCTTGTCTTTATCTTTACTGTCCTTTTTCTTGTTTTTATCCTTTGTTTTCTCACGCTTCATATCAAACCATTCACTTAGGCCTTCTCTTGTTTCAAAAGTCAAGCTGGCACTTTCTTGTGCTTCCGCCAAACTTTTGGAGGATTCGTTTATCGATTTCATATGTTCTCGATACTCGTCTTGTTCGCTTTCAGTTAACTCGCCATTTTTCTTAGCTATTTCTTGTAACTTTACAATTTCAGCGGCTTTGTGTTGAATACTTTTGATGAGGTAATCGAATCCATCGAATTTTGATGGTAGTTGAGGGTTTTCGAGAGCCATTGTGTCAATTTCGGTTTCCGTTAGTTCAGATGGCGGGTTGTAGTCGTTGGGTGTTTTTACAATCGTAGACGATAAAACTTGACCTTGTGAGTTTTCTATTATCTGTAGAGATTGGCCTTTGGCGCCTCCGTAGAATGGGACCAAGGTTATTTTTGTTGTGTCTCTAAAAAAATTGAAAATTACTTAACTTTTCTAATTAAGTTATTCTAAATACAAAGACATGTTAATAGTAAGTTTTTCCTGGAAAATTTTACTGGAATGTGTGCTGGTAAATATAATACGAAATATATATAGGGGTTTTCGAACAAGTTACAATTTTGTTGAGTTGCACTTGCACCCCAGTTTTTGGTGAAATTTTCAACTTTTTGAATAATTGTCTACTTTAAGCTAGTTATGGATATAAGATAAAGAAACATAGAAATGTGATACATCCTCCACGAAAAATGTTAAAAGGATTAAATTAAATAAATCAACTAAGTCACACAATCTCGTGGTAGATACTTACACAAAAGTCTGAAAATTTAGGGGTCCTATAGATAAAAATGTTTATAGTTTAATGATAAAGGAGACGGATTTCCTAGAAGAATTGAATTCATGTGACGCCAACAACAAAAATTGGAATGATGCAAGAAGCTCTGGATCTAAAATATAATAAGGTTGTTGAAAAAAACAGGGAATCTATGCCACAGGGACGATTTCGAGATAAAAATAAGAGAAACTTTAAATTTCCTGCAAATGAATTGTTGACATAATATGAAGAAAATTCTATTACAATGAATATTTCTTCCCAATGAAAAAGACATGATAGCTTGATTATGTTGTGTTTATACCTCAAAAAAAAATGGACAATTTCCTTTAATTCCCAGTGGGAAAGATTCAAAAATATAGATTTTTCAAAAGCCAAAAGAGTTCGACTGATTGAAAAATATGGAAATGACATATTTGTATCATCAAGTACCCCCTACGTTGCTTGCTTTAAAAACACAGGTACAAGATCCTTACAGATGTATGTTACCGACTTCGGATTGTGGAAACAGCAGCTGCTATAATCGCAGAAGATATACGTGGACAAGTTCACTACACCACTCGGTATCTTTTCCCACCTGATATTTTGGAAGGAGCAAAAGACGCCTCATTTCTTTTGGCTCTTCTGTAAATGTAAGGAGCTCCCTGTGGTTCGAGGATGGAATGGATTTATGCAAGAGGTAACAAAATCTCTTTCATACGAAACAACATGCGTTTCCAGTCTACAATTTATTAATTACGCTGAAGGTAAGAAAACATGGAAGTATGAAGTTAATATGATCTTATGTGATTAGTTGCTTCTTTTTGTAACCATTTCAAGTTTCCATCATCTCAGTTCTGGACGATGATGAACTGCTCGCTTTCCCAACCCCGAAACTTTCCGACTTTATGAGGGACTCCAATGACAAATGCTCACCAGAACCAGGACCCTCCACCCAAGCCCAGTTCGCATTCCTTCACTATTTATCACTTGATTGACATTAGTTTCAAGAAGTATACCCTCTTTTCAGCAATCATTTCACCTCGGCATCATTCCTGTTGCAGATGATGATGAAACGCTCATCATTACATCCGAAAATGAATACTCACCAGAACCAGGACCCCCGACTCAGGCCCACCAGCTCAAAAATACAACTACATCCTCACACTCTGTCAAATGTAGATGTTCTGATTGATAGTCGCACGGTATGCGTTCCTACGATCATCTAGCAAATAATTCATTCAATTGTAATATGATACACCGCGTTGCTTAACATTTCTAACTATATTAATGTACTCTACATGGTGCTATAGGTAGTGAATGCCTTAACACGCTTGCCTAAATACTCGCAATATATTTGAGCACAGGTCACGATATTTTCCTCCTTTCGCATGACCCATTTTCTTCTCTGCAAATACCCACTTCACATCACAGAGTCCGAGGATGTAGTGCAAAACTTCATTTATGAAGATGTAAATAATTATTCTTCAACCATACGCACCGAGAAAGAGAATTATCTAACAGCGAGTGGTGTGGTGTAACGGTTGGATTAATAGATACAGTACCATAACAAAAACTGAATGGATTGTGATATACACATTTCCCCATCTTCAGAAGTATGAATATAAGAAGGAATCAACATGTCACCATAGCAGCTTTTATAAAGTGGACCCTAATAAAAGAAGTGAGCGCAGGGTGAGAAATCGAAATTGTTTACCATTTCATTTCCAATGATGCCTTTTGCCGCGGCACTAAGTGTTGGTAACTTTCCCAATAATTTCCTCCTTCATCTACCAAAACTGTGGCAGCACTGGTTTCTTATTTTTACCTACACCTGAAAACATGAAATAGCAGCACGCCTGAAAACATAGGGATCAGTCATAAAACCTAAGCCCGGTATTTTTTCTCACCTAAACTACCAATTTCCTGGAACAAGAAGAAAATGGAAAATTTCCTCCAATTCTTGATGGGAATGATTTAAAAATATGATTTTTCCAAGAGCCATAGAGTTGATTTTGTTGAAACCAAGACGAAAATTGAAAACATCTGAAATAGAGACTTCTTTCTTGATTTTGATTTTATTGAGATCTTGATATGTAGGAAACTTAATGAAATCCATTAAAATGAGTATTTCTTCCCAATGGAAAAGAAGTAATAGCTTTGATTGTGTTGTGTTTAAACCTCAAGAAAAAAATGGAAAATTTCCTTCAGTGGGTCTTAGTGGGAAAGATTCAATAATATGGATTTTCCAAGTGCCATAGACTTGCTTGATTTTGTTGAAACCAAGACGAAAATTGAAAACGTCTAAAACTTCGGTTTCTTTCTTGATCTTGATTTTATTGAGATCTTGATAATATGATATTATTATTTGACTAGTAAAAAAGGTCCATTCTCTAGGCTCCCTTGCTTTTCTCCAAAGATGCAGAGACTCGAAAGTCATTCCGAAATTCCTGAAAATTCGAAGAATTATTGAATCCTCCCAATCTAACACTAAGAGAATTTTCAGACGAGCGGAACGAGCCTTACTTTGGGAACGGATTCACCAAACAAGGAAAGGCCTAGCAGCTATCTTTTATCGATAAAGCAAAGGTTACCTAACAGCATACATTGGAGTGACTGAGACAAAATTGACCAAATGACGTATGACGTGATGGAAGCCACACTAGCAAAAACAACCAAAACACTGGTAAATAAGTTTGAGTCCTTGAAATCATGGAGCACTGCGAAACCCATAGGCAATGATCGCACAGTTGTCAACCTGACCCAACGTGTTTTGACTGATTCGGAAACCAGTGTTCCAAGAAAAGGAGACAATTTTGCAATAACGTCGAAAGACCTGCCATTCGAAGACATCATAGCAAATGTGGAAGCCAGCATACGCACGTTACCTCGAACCACTGCGGAGGAAATACGCAATGAAGCATCTAGGATTCTAGGACTAGCGAAACCTCCAAAGTGTAATCTGACATACGAAGAAAGGAAGGCTATTCGCAGCCTGGATACAGACAATAACATACTGTGGATAAAGGAAACGCAACGAATCAAAAATTTCTGAACTGGTAGACCCCTCCACCTACGGAAAGGTGAAGCGCAATCCCACTGCTTCCATATTGCGAAAAACCAGTCAACTCCTCGGAGCACTACCGTTAGACTCAGAAAACATGAGGAAACTCATCAAATCTGGAGGCCTTACCACCTAGAATATGGGCTTCCGAAGATTCACAAAGACATTCTGGTTAGTTCTGATGTGGTCTCGTTGTTTACCAAGATACAAGTGAATCAGGCCTTAGACTAGAGTATCTGAAAGATGTTTTCCCGGAGAAAATCATCAACTTTCATTGGTAAAATGAATTCTTTCAGCAGACAGATGATGTCGCAATGGGGAGTCCACTCAGCCCAGTTATCGTCAACTTCTACATAGAACACTTCGAACAAATGGCACTGCAAACGGCCACAAAATAACCTTTCGCTATGCATAGATGACACTTTGTTGTTTGGAACAATGGATCTCGAAAATTTCCTTAATCATCTGCACTCAGAATACAGTTTACGATTTAAAAAAAAAAAGTTTACAAAAGAGAGGAGTTATTAAAACTCTATCTGATAAGGCACTCCGGATTTGTGAAACCAGCTACCTTCAGGACGAGATACAACACCTAAAATCAGCACTTGAAGGAAATTGATACTCCAAGCAGGAGATAAATAGAGCTATAAGACCAAAGCAGCAGCGCACAAATAATAATGTACCAGCACAGGTGGCAGGGAGAACCTTTCTTCCCTACATCAAAAATGTCAGAGATCGCATCGCATAGGACGAAGGCTAGAAAAACACAACATTAAGCCCATCTACAAGCCCACAAGAACAATTCAGCAAAGTCTAAGATCAGCCATGAATCCTAGGGCACCTCTTCAAACAGCTGGCGTCTATAGAATTTCCTGTTCTTGTGGATCTGTCTATGTAGGAACAATTAACACGTTGGCAGCCGACATGAAATTGGTAGTCTTTCCAAAGAAGTCACTCGACAGTCGGCTTCCATTTAGAATCATTACTCACAAGCCGCCTGGGTCGCCGGCTGTCATTTGCGAACCTTACTAATAGTGTCGACTGGCCGCTGGCGGTGCATTTTAGCGTGCTAATGTTATGGGATTTTATAGGTCGGCAATACAGGAATATAGATTTGAAGTGGTTTGGGAAGGCAGGCAGGACTTATGTCAAAATCCGCATAAAATTTAATAACAAACAAAAACGCGCATTTAAAAGCCGATAATGGCCTCTTGCGATGTCTAAACCGGGATGTTTAAAGTCCGTCGATTTTAATCTGATACTCGAAAGAAATGTAAGCTGGTGGCACCCTACATTAGAACGCCAATGGTCACCTGACGTCACACCTTGTTTTTGCCATATACTTCACCCCCTTGCTTCTCATACGGAACGTGTCAGATAAAAATCGACGAACAATAGATGGTTCATTATTCGGATAATCCATCTTAAATGTGTTTAGTGAGTAAAATAAACCGAAAAATAAGCTAAAACTTACCCTGAATACAAAATATATATTTGAAAACACCGAACTTACAGAAAAACTCGCAAATGTGTCTCTATACAAACGATTGTTGTGTTTTGTACAAACGATTTCGAGGTTATGTTTGGATATTTACCCGACTGCCGGCGGCCAATTGGCAGATAAGTAATGCATGGATTGCTAAAATGCCACCTGACAGCGGGCTGTCAAATCAGAATTATTAAAGCTATGACCGCCAAACGCCGCCAGGATTAATAACTATGCTTCTTGAAACAATTTTTAACCAAAATAGACAGTTTTTTGATGTGACGTTTTTGGTTATATTTATCAAAATTTTGGCGGCAAGCATGCAAATTATGTAATTGATCGCCGGCGGCCCAGGCGGCAGCCTATATGTTAAACGCTCTGTCAACACCAGGGTCAAAGAGCATAAAAGAAATTGTCAGCAAGGACAAGTAAATAGATCAGCAGTAGCCGAGAACGTATTGACACACACACATCATGTCATTCGCTTCGGCCAGACCATTGACCAGACTCAAGCATTGGATAGAAGCAAACATTTTTACACCAGGCTCTACGGAGAAGCCACAGAGATACAGAAACACCACGACAACTTCAACCAGCCAGTTCTCCGAAAAACAAAGACCCTTCCTTTCCGAGAACAAGACCAGGAAAATAGCATAATACAAACTACGCCCACAACCCTGAATATAAATACCGCAGGTCCATCAATCCATTCGAGTGTTTGCTACCGTTGAAGCAACCGTCCTTTTCAGAATAGTTGCTGAAAGAAATCGTTACCCGTTTTTTAGTTACCTACCGAGAACTCTGCAAGTTTTTCTAAGTGAAATAGTGAGGTTTGTGACCAAATGTGAGAAGGCTAGCCGTCATGGAGCAATTACAGTCCAGCGATGGGCAGCAGAAGATCGTGCAGCAAATCAAGGGTTTGCAAGAAGAAATTCAGGGGCTACGCCAAGAAAATGAAAAACTGAGACAAGATGTGGTTCGTCTTCAAACCGACAACATTCTCCGCGAGGCAGCAGAAGCCACCATCAAAGAAAACTATAAATTAAAAACCGCCGACAGTGCATTTCAAATCCAGGACGATATCAAAGCGTCCGAGATACAAAGCTTTAACAAATTGGTAGACGACCATGTGATGGAAGTAGCCTCCGGCGAGGATTCCAATTATGACAGTGATCACGACCATGACATTAGCGACATCGAATCGGTCACATCTGCTACTTCTAAAAGGAGGAGAAACTCTACAGACAGTGAAAATACACAACCAAGAGGAAAGCAACCCAAACAAATACCAGAGCCCGCTCAAAGGCCCATGACTCCGACGGTCATTGTACGAAACCTGGCCCAGTCCCAGAGCTCCTTTAACCCGACCGCTACAACTTCTGCCTCTTCAGGACCTGTCAGAAAAGGGTTCCAGATCAATCCTCCAGCGCCAGTCACAATCACGGCTCCTTTTACTCCATGGGAAAGGATTCCCCGATCGTTCTTCAAAATAAGTGAAACGCCCATTTTAAGGCACAAAAAGTTTCGTTCGGCACACCAGCGAGGGGATCAAATTGCACCCCATTTCAATAAAGGACTACAGACGAATGACCTTCTTCAAGGAGAACGGAGAACCGTTCCACTCCGTCTCTCTCCCAGGGGGCCGATTCTCGGGCCAAAAAGTAGAGCTCTCCGAGAGAACAAATTTTTTGGCGTTATTATTCTCGTTTACTTTTCGATTATGTTGATAAAAACAAAACATTCGTTCTATCGAGGAGCTCTACTCCCTGGCCCGAGAATCGGCCCCCTGAAGAAAAGAAGCTCAGGGTAGTCATCCGTGGGCCACTGGAAGACTGGACGACCGATTTCATCAAAGACGAGTTAGTCATTAGATGGTACAACGCCAAGGATGTCCCAGTAGCGCTTGTACATACTGGCGATCCTTCCAATCGCTGAGACCTTGATATACAAGCTCAACTACACTGTAGCAAACCCAGGGAGAAAGCTGCCACCTGTGCAAACATCAGAGGAAATCCGTCTACAAGCCTGCTCCCAGTCAAACTTCGTCTGGGGCCGACAGCCAAAAGTGCAGCCAACCATTACCCAGCAACAACAGCGCCAATTACAACAACCTCCAGTGCAACCAACATTGGATTCACTAGTGCGACAGATGAACTTATTAGGGACTTGCAAAACCCAGCTGCACTGGGATCAAGACACCCACAGTAAGGAACCAAATTCCGAGGTAGCCAAGATTCGCCTTCTTCTCAAGGATGTGTCATGATGGACCACCAATAACTTTAACACGACCTGGGACGCCAGAATACGCACTTGAATAAATATGGGAAAATAAAATTTTTGTATTTTTTCCCAACCACTAAAATGTTGCCATTTAGCCAGGATTAAAAAAAAAATATATAAAAAAAAAAAACCTCGAATCCAGTCATGGGAGGAACACGGAAGAGAACACTTCGTCCTCTACCACACCACCTCTGGAGATGTCTACCGCATTCTTTATTTATTAATATACTGTTGTAAGATTTCTTAAGATTGGGAAATTGTGTACAATCTCTCAACACTGCCTGATGACTAGAAAATTCACGAATGGAATCTTATTTCGCAATTTGATAGATCTTCCTCTGAATCATTTTTGTATTTCTTAATTTTATTTTTTTAGCTTCTATCGTCTTCCCAATTGATATTCATTAGAATTTTTTCAATCTTTATTATCATTATCATAATTTGTGGAAGATAGTTTTATTACCTATTATTATTTCCTATTTTTTTATCTTTCTATCAAGATTAATAGGAATTATTTCAGAATCTTTCTCCTCTTCTCTTCACCTCTATCTTCTTCTCCATCAAAATTTGATGAAGTTTATTCAAAGATTAGGAAAAAGAATAAATATATTTTGTACAAATAACTAGGTACTTTTCATAAAACGCTTTAGTAAGTATATCCAGGGCAATTAATATTAAACTACTGTGAGACATGAGACATTTTAATTAAACATCTATTAAATACAATAGGTAAATATTGCAAATAAAAAAATGTTTTCTTTTTACATATCTACAGGCTTTGAAACATTAAAAAAATATATATACATGATATAAAAATATACAAAATATATTAACTTATAGGTATAGCTAATTTATAGAATTCTCTATTACAGGTACTCATAAACTTTCAAAGGCCTCAAACACAAGTTACCTTTCTCCTATAAACGGTTCATAGTTAATCTCCAAATCGCTTTGAGCGTGCGCAATCCCGCCAGGTCCAGCTATAGCTACAGCTTGCGGTTCAAACAAAATATCCACATTGGTGCCTTCTCTAAGCACAGCCCTCGACAACGGATTCGACACCGCTTTGCCTTCTACACCAGCCACAGCCGTAGATTGAGGCTTGAGTATCAATGTGATGACATCCTCAGAGTTTGATGATCTGAATTTGAATATTTGGTTTTGGTTTTTGAAGTAGCGCAACAGTGGACCGAGTCTGTAAGGGGCTAGCGAGGGTTGTTTTGAAATTAAACTTTGTAATTGCGGATTTTGAGTTTCTGCCAGTCGGATTTCTTGTTTTGGTGCTAGGACCATTGTGTTTTTTGAATCAATCAGGTTGTTTGCATTTTTATTTTTTGTAGATGTAGATTTGCTTGTGAATAAATTTCTAGGTTCATCTAAACTGAGACTGTTTAAAAGTCTTCTATATTCTTGTTCGGTTTTTTTATTGGAACGTACGTGGTATCTAGGAAAGTGGTAGAACTGGAAGGAGGTAGATGAAGCAGGGTTGTAGAAGCCTTGGAGTGGGAGGAAAGCGTATGGTTGCCATGATCTGAGAAGCAAAAAAAAATGGATGATAGACAAATAGAAAGGATTTGGGTCCATTGTTGAATAGTTCAAAATTGAACATAAATAAAAAGGCACAGTTTCTACATAAGTACATATTTATTTACATTTATTTTTATTCATCAGTCATTTTCAACACCTACTTTAACATTGAAATCAAAACCATTTTACACCCTCTATATTTTCCATAGAAAGCTGTATTTACATTTTAGAACTAATTGAAAATTTGTACACTGCTTATTAGATTCTCCTTATATTAAGAAATAGATACTAAGTCAACTTTCACAATAATTTCGAAATTAAAATTTCAAAAGATGCCTGGATCAGCTATAGTAACTCCACCCTCAAATACAAATCTCCAGTAGAGACATAACTTAATAATGGCAATGAAATGGTCATCTACAAAAAGATTTCATTGAAGGAAAATTTCATTGTCAGTATTCTTTCTGTTGAGAACTCTTGCGATGTTGTCGTCATTGGTGTTTATGTCTTTAACTTTACCAGATTCATTTTCATTTTCAAGATTATTTGTAAAATTTGTTTGTGGTTGTAGGAGATAGAGTTTTGGTATTGAACTCCAGCTATCCAGGAACTGGATTCATCTTCAGGTCTTAGTGTGAGCCTTGTGTTAGCTTACAAAAACCCTCTATTACCATAAGCCTTAGTAAATAAATATGACATTCACCTGAAAGAGTATCTGAACACAAGATCCGAACCTAGTTAGATCCAGACCAGTTTCAGAATTTGGTGAATTACAAGAGTCTGTCTAAGTATAGAGTTGTAAGAGAGGTTACGTTTCTAATCCTTTCACTATACTTCTTTGATGTGGCTTATTGTTATAATATTTTCAAAAAATTACCTACTTCAATCAATCCAGACATAAATTAACAATTACTAACCCTAAATGAATTAAAAATTTCCCTAAACATCTTCACCTCTATTATAATACACCACAGGTCCTACAGCCACAATTTTCCCCACTCTTGTATTAGCCACGTGTCTAGTAGTACCATTCACCACGCTATTCTTAATCACTTCATTTAAATCAATGTTTGGATCCACTGCAACAACTTGCGTTCCAGATCCAGCGATAGCCAAACCATTCGGATGGGTATAAGCGATACCATTTGGACCGACGATGGCAGTACCACCGCGATGCAAGATTGTAGCAAGGCGTATTATTACAACTAACAATGGGCCTTAAGCTAAAATTATTTTTGTGCGTTTTCCTAAGTCCGTATATTTTTGGGCCAGTGGAGTTATGAACTTTCATTCTTTTTTCTTGGATTTCGCCAATTCGTTCACAGATTCAATTTCGTCTTCAAGCTCTTCTACTTGTAAAATTGGGTCTTTGATTGGAGGTGTGGTATTGAAATCCAGCTTTCCAGAAGCTAAATGTGCTAGGCGAGTGTCGTTGCGTTTTTCAATAAACTCTTGCCAGCCCATTTTGTCTGATTTTTCTTTAAACTCTCTGCTTTCCTGTGAAGCATCAGCTGGTAAATTCACAGACAACTTAACCAAATCATCGTCTCCTAAATCAATATCCTCTACATCCAGATAGCCTGAATTGTCATCAAAAGCTAACTCAATTTCGTCTCCGCCTTCTCGCTTATTCATTTCAACAGTAAGTTTGGGTTTAACTCTGGATCCTCCACCAGGTCTTGGTGTAAGCTTACAAGGACCCTCATTACCGGCAGCTGGACCATATTCAACCATATTAGTAACTGCATAATACATTTGCAAGAAAGGGTCTCTGATGTATATTGGAAATAAGTTCGCTCCAGGCCAGTTCCAGTTTTGTCTAGCAATTTTATAATTTTGGTAATATGGATAATATGGTAACATTTGTTGTCCCGATACTAAATCTTTGATATTATTCACTGTTTGTTTTTCTAATGCTGTTTTGTTTTTGGCTTGATTGGGTTGAGGGAAAGTTTGTTGGTTTTGAACTTGTTGAGGATTGAAATATGTTCTTACATTTGGATCTGGATAAGGTGGTGCTTGTTGTGGAAACATATTATACGGATTAGGCATCATAAATGATTGATAATGGGTAATTTTTCTTTTGATATATTGACCTGGCACGTGGTCTTCTGGCAAAATTTCTGGATTGGTATCAGTTATTGCATAATTTTCTGGATGTTGTACGTTATCAAAATTTGGCCGTCTAAAACTAGGAGTTTCTGCGTTGTTTGCCTTTTCTTTTTCTATATAGTCCAATATAGGGTTTGCGAAAGGATCTCTGGAGAATTTGAAGTTGTTATTTGACCGTTGCTGTTCTTCGTTTTGAGCTCTGGAGTAGCTAAATGGAAAATGGAAGTACGATGGTTTCTGCTTTTTTTGAGTAAGGCCTTGTTTTCTATTGACTAGGGCGATTTTTTCTAAAATTTCTTTTGTGCTGTCGTCGACCTTTTTTCCACTTGTATACTCATAGTTGAAGCGTTGTTTATCGTTTTCTGGAAATTTGACTTCGTGGATCAGCTGACGCTCAACCCTAAAAAGAAATAACGTGACATGAGTTTCTTTCTGAAGCAACTTACATAAAAATTAATTTGAAGCAAATATACATTTGAAATTAGTGCTGGAAAGCGAACTTACCTATTTACAAGTATATACTAGATTTTAAACTACACTATACTAAGAAGTAGGTATCACTTACACCAAATAGAAAATATGTATATTACAAAAGTATTGTCGCGGTTTGTTTGTTTTTACCCAAAAAACTCTTATAAACAATGATTTTGTTAGTAGGTATAGGTACTGGTTTATTTACAAATACTGGGTGAACCTTATCCAAAGAGAAAGCTATTTTTGCTCATCCTAAACATTCTAGAATTACTACAGACACAAACGTAAAATCGAGAGTCATTAAATGTGCCTAGAATATAAATTCTAGAATGAACCTTCTTTTTTGGCTCTACATCTCAAATTCAGTTCTCAATAGACCACCTTTCAGCTCTGGCTCTGGCCATATAAAAGATTCAAAGTTAAGATGCCTCAGCACACTTTATTATAGAAAATTTATTTTTAAATATGAAACATTTAAGAACTAAGCTTTGTCGTAGAAAAAAAGACAAGCCAAACATGAGACTTCTTCCTTTTTTTTCCATATGGACTTACATCAGAAACAGAGAGTTTTTTAAGTTTAATAAAGCTTTTATATTCAACCTCGATCTGAGTTTATGTATATAGCAACTTTGAGAAGATAGTGAGATTTGATCCACCCAGTATCCCTATTATCAATAATGTTTGTCCTTAATTTAGTATTATAATTAGTCTCAACTTACTCTATCGGTGATCCATTGCTTGAATGGTCCTTTTCTGCCTCTGCTGGATGATTTTGTGGTCTTGAAACGGCCCAACCGATGCAACTTAGCTAAAAAGAAATTGAATCGATTAATGAGGATGTTTTTGAATAAAGTTGATTTACTTTGGGACTTTTAGACGCTTGCTTACATCTTGAATGCGTCTTGAAGACATCTCAAAGACGTCGTATATTACAAAACCCAACATCTTTGAGACGTCTGCCTAAAGACGTCTTCAGGACTAATATTATAACTTTCAATTTTTGTCTTTGTCTATTCAAAAAGCCAGTCTCATAAATTCTTGATTTCTTTAAGACAAAAACATACACAAATTTCATTTTGGAAGAAAACATTAGAAGACTTATGAGTAAAAATTAAAAAACAAATCAAGAGCCTGAAATTCTAAAATACGGGAATAATGAGAATTCTGAAACTTGGAATGAAAAAATTCAAGAACCAAAAGAAAATTAAGAAATAAAGAAAAATCGAGAGCCTGAAATAGGAAAAATTATAAAAATTCAAGATTTTGATTTAAAAGACAAACATTTTCCTGCTAATATTTCCTTATTAGTACTCATTTTATAACTTTCAATTTTTGTCTATTCCAGGCGCTAGGCTCTCTGAAATAATTCTGAGGTTTTCAAATTGTTGTGAAGCCTTTCAAAATGCTGCTGAAAAGTGCTTTGGGACGTTCTTAATGGCTTATTGAAGTTCTAAAGTGTTCTAACTTGGCTTGAACAGTTCTGAAGTATTCTAGAAGTTTTTCAGTAATTTATAAATTGTTCTGGCATATTTTTAAGTATTTTAGAGCCCTTTTGAAGCTTCAAAGTATTCTAAATTGGTTCAAAACAGTTCTAAAAGGTTTCCAGTTCTATTGAATCCTAATTGTTCAAAAATAACTCTGAAGTTTCTCAATTTTTTCAAAATGCTCCTGAAAATTCTGATTTGGATTTGAACTGTTTTGGATACTTATTGAAGTTCTAAAGTTCTACAGCAATCTAAAATCCGATCCTAAACGCCTGCTAAAAGGCATTTTGTACCTTTCAATCTGAATTCCAAGAGTCTGATGCTTTTCAAAATATTTCTGGAGATTCTAGAGT